ACCCACTTCTATCAATCGAAAGGAGACTGCGACCACACCAGAGGCAACAACATCTTGGTCTTCATATATTTAATTGTTTGCTTTAATTGTCCCGCCTATTCTGAGGCGAGCATCTGGGCCATGGCAGGCCGGGTTGAGGGCCGGTATGGGTTGCTTGAAGCGGATCTGCCGGGCAATGAGGTGGCATTGTATCGTGCTTTGGCCAATGAGGGTAATTTCGCGGTACAGAGTAGACGCCTCCGCATCAGCTCTCTCTCCTAGGCTCGTCTAGACTGTCAACTGGATGTGACTAGCGTTTGCGTCATCAGTCAACCTCGTTCGGCCAGCCTGGCGACCGAATTAATCCGGTGACAATTCTCATTTGGCCGATTGGTCCGATTGACTTATTCCACTTTACGTCGTGCGGATTTCATTATTTTTCCTTCACTACTTGCATTCAAATGAGTAGCTATGCAGGACTGGTTGCTTGTCACCATATGCGCCAGCTCGGCCCCTCTGTCCATCCTCTCCTTTCCACGGACGGCCAGCCAACGTTGACGACTGTCGCGAAGGCCGACTTGCGTGTCGTGCGAGGGTTGCGAGTCTTGGTTGTCTCGACGTGTCGTGATGCCATCAATTTGAGCGGGTTGCGCCGCGGGACAGTGCAGAAAAGGTGACTCCATCTTCGATATTTTATCTCGTCCTCCTTCAGTTGGCACTGTTTGTGTCTTGTCGGCCTCTTGCGCTTTGGTAGAGCTGCCAACGGGGGATGCATGGACGGATGGATGGATGCATGGTTGTGTGGAGAGAGGAAGGAGGTTGGTTGGCTCGCCCAACCGAGGGGCTCTCGGAGCCTCGGCCATTCGTGAGTGGCGTCTGTGCACACCGTTCGGGGGGTCGATGCGTGTCAAAATCGCCCACTCCTTCGGGTCGATATGAGACGGCGACTCGCCTTCCGTCTCGACTTCACCGACGGACCCAGTCTCACTTTCAACACCACTCCTCAGGCTCCACATGATGCCGATTGTCTGACACGACTACGACTCCTCTGCCTCCACTCGCCGCCATGGTAACCGCAAATGTTCACGTCGACTTGCGTGCCCTTGACTAGACGTCGCGGCGATTGACGCAAAGAACTGCTGCCTGCGCCGGCCGCCGGCGAGATGGCGACTCAAACGACGAACGGCGAGGCCAAGTTGTCGGCGACGGTGACGGCGACGGCGATGGTGCCAGAGACGGGCGTCGAGGCGGTTGGTGCCGCCTGCCCGATCTTCTTCAAG